ATAAAAGGTTCCATGGTGTGGGTTTCTGGATTTTCTGGGTTAGGTAGTTCATGGTGATATTGAATAGCAAGGGACTTAGTGCGCTTCCTTGATGAACTCCTACTTTGATATCGAAGCTCTCCGACAGTCCATTTTTCCATGACCAGTCTGATTGCGTGGATCGCGTCTGTTGTTCCCCTCTCAGAAGTAAAACCGAACTGATTTTCTGTTAAATTAATGAGGTTTTGAAGGCGTTCACTTAGAACTCGTTCTCAGATTTGAGTGTGTGTGACGTGAGTTTTATACCTCGATAATTTGCGCATTCCCGTACATCTCCTTTGTTCTTGTAGAATGGGACCAGTACACTCTTTCTCCAGGCATCTGGCATTTTTTCACTTTTCATGATGTTATTAAATAGCTCACAGAGCCATGCCTCTCCTACCCCTTTTAGAAATTTCCAGAGCTCAACAGGAATGTTATCTGGGCCTTCACTTTTATGGTTCTTCATGTTTGTCCTTAAGTATGAATATCTCAAAAAGATGGCCTACAAATTGTTCCAAGTATTAATGTTTGATCTTATGAAATTTATTTTTGTTAACTACCTACGCGATGCGGGTTAGGAAATTAACTTAATTTTAAATTTAGAAAAATAGTAAACGTCATCACTTGTGACTTGTTGTCCGCAGCTCGTAAACTACGCGACCACATAATCTGACTCGAGAGAGCGCCACTATTGTCCGTATAACTATAATCGTTCCAGCTTACGATCGTCTGACGGAATTTGATTAAATGTTACATCTCTTTGCGGCATTTCACTGCCGTTTTACTGATCTTTTACCGACCTACATTCAGAAATAATGTAAATTAATTTATTTAATACAATAGTGGCATAACAGAAATCATTATCATAGCTTATCCCGTAGTTTTTACCGTGGTGGTGCTCGTCTCGTGAGTTTCGTAAGAGGCTACTATAAAATACCAGAGAAATCTCATGGTTACCGATAGATGGCACTATAACTATCTTTAACAAGATACGTAATTTACCCATACCGGCGACAGGGAGCAGGGTCAAAGCTGCGAGACGTCTGACACTATAGTTGCCAATCCACCTGCGAAGCGTGGCGAATAATGCATATCCTTAATAACGGGAGAGGCTCGTGTCCAGCTTTTATCAGCTGATGAGAAGAAAGAAGAAGATGCCCTGAGTGTTGTGAAAGGTGACTTAAGGAAAGGCCATCTCGTATTAACAAAAAAATTTATAAACTACGTCCAATTGCAATATTTGTCACAATATACTACAGGATATCCACCATAGGCTAACAAAATGTGTCAAATATCAAAAGGAAATGGAGTCCAGTGAAAAAATATGTTAATTTGGTGAAATAAGTTGCTTTTTAAAAACACTTGCGGAGCCACACTCAAAGATGACAAAGTCAGTGATTTTTACATTGATTCTTTCTTTTTAAATACTTATGATTATATGTGTAACAGGAACAAGGTATGGTACGATAAGACTGACATATCATTGTAGGGTAAAATTCTGTTTAAATAAAGATTAAAAAAAAAACCTTGTACTTGAACTTACGAACGGCTTTAAGTTTCAATATCAAATCGCCTCATATTGCTAATTTTTCTTAAAATAAATGTCAAATTTATATTAATTTTATAAAATGCTAATTTCTGAACGATAATATATTTCAATTAACTTATATTCATGCATTATATAGCAATAGACTATGTAATACGAATCAAAAATAAAATTTTTAATGTTACTTAATTTAAAAGCTTGTGTTACATAATAATATGATGACCTATAAGAGATAACGATAATAAGTTAGATCATCTTGAATCAAAATGTTGTTTGGTGCACGGTTCTCCTTACAGTATAGCTTACGAGGTAGGTTAGTAAGTCGCTCAATTTGCAATTCGTTCGGGACCAGCTACAGTTTTAAGTTCTAAAGCAAAAAAAAAGTAAGGTAAAAGTTTACGAAAAAATGATGTTTCATTTTGAAGAATTTACGAATAAATGATGTTTCATTTTGAAGAGTGTTCACCCTAATAGTGTAAGTAAGGGAACACACAGTCCATTAGGTACATGACTGACATCAAGACCGGGACCACTCCTTACGGTCCCGTAATCTTAGTCGTCACCCTTACTTTTGAGAAGTGGTTAAGGTTCTAAGTTGAACGTTTAGTCAAGGGTCACGCCCACCTCGTTATTTCCGACTCTCAATTTGGTGTGGTATACAATAGGATGATTTTGGTTGATCACTGCTGCAGGGTGCGTATAAATGTTTCTTTTTTTTTTTTTTTTTTGGAGGGTATAACAATATATTTGCTGGTTGTTTTTTAAATATATTTTTTGTTTTTCACTCATAATACTATTCCGTGGGCGTCATAATGGGTGCCAGAGAGAACCTGAAAGAGAGATGAGCATTAGTGTCTTCTTAATAACAACTGAAACAATAAAAGACTACGGTAGCCAAAACCACCTTCGCGGCGTGGCAACTGTGGCAAATTCTGCCATTTGCGGTAATCTATGGGGGAGATCTATGTTCAGCAGTTGGCTTTTGATAGGATTCAATGAATGAATGGATGAAAGTATATTTTTTCTGGTTATTAAACAAGGTTATAATATTTTGGATTGTAGTGTAATACATTTTGTACAAGCATCACTACTTGCAAGCGTTAAACCCTGTCCAGTGTGTTCACCAAGTACTATATATAATATACGCACGTGTGGCTGGGATACTAGCGGAAAGTTAGGTAAATAACACGTCAATCCAACCACCATATCTACTCAGAACTAGAACTAGAACAGCGATCTACTCAGACTACGTTTATCCATAAAATATGGATTCAGATGGTGAATTGTGGAGAAAATGATAGCTAGCCCATGAAATCAAATCAAATCAAAAATGCTTTATTTTTGTAACCAGCAAGTTTAGCAACACAATTTGATAACATTCCTTTAATCATAAAAATGCCTGTATTCGGAAGTTATCTGTCTTCCATATTATATAACTACAAGGTAAGTATAAGTTCCAAATACAAAGTGTAACATTTGTGATTACTTATGAAATCAGTCTACATAAGATTACTAACACAATTGTATTGGTTAATGTATTGGTTAATTTGTGTGCGCGCACGCACGTGTGTGTGTGTGTGTGTGTGTGTGTGTGTGTGTGTGTGTGTGTGTGTGTGATTAATGGCAAACAAAAAAACATGAGTGCAATTCACACGCAGTAAAGTGAGACCTCAAACGTAATGAAATATTACGGTCACTTTTGTCGTCTGCCATCATACGACTCTCGACTAATTTTTTTAATGTCTAACGATTATCTCGCACGAGACAATTTGCCAACCAAGTTTTTTTGCACAATATTGTGCATTCTCATGCAGATTGCTCAGAATCACTAAGATTAATTAACTTGAATTCCGGTATACGACAACATGTTCAAATATTTTTTTTGTTTAAACATACAAAGGAGTAACACTTCCTTTTTCAATCCCGTTGTCAAAATATGCCGCCGAACACGAATACGACGAGATTAAGCGTAGTAACGTTCATCTATTTGATAGAAATTCACTTATTCTTCTAAATATGTAATGTATTTTTTTTTCTTATTTATTTTCGCTACAGTTAAGGTTCTACTTCAGTTATATTATTACGCTTTGTACAATTTTTTGGATTGTAGTTTAGATCAATATCATCATTATGCTTTTAATTTTAAAACTGTATATAACTAATGTATATACCTTTATTGTATTGTATTTATATTTATATTGTATATTGCATGTATATTGTATTTATATTGTATATACCTTTTTCAATAAAACAAAATGTTAAATAAAATATTTTATGGCAAATGATTTATTTAATATGATACTTTTCACCTATAAGTGAGGCGTAAAATTTATAGCAAACAAATGTTACAATCCTTATTTTTAGATTAAATTTTAGTGTAATAAATCAAAAGGATAATTTATTTTCGAGTAAAATTGCTTTATAGTAGTGTTACCAACTTCATTCCATTCCGTTGCCATTCTATCGAAAAAAACCTGATGGACTGATTGGATAATATGATAATTTAATTCAATATGACTAATGTTATTTCTTAAATAAATTTGTTAATTCTTATATTGTTCATTTTAACATTTAAAATTAAAAGTAACTACCTTGACGTACGAATATCATCGCATGTCAGAAACACTGATATTGAATTACACGACAGAAGCAGAATGTACTCGACTTTGACGAATTAATATTCAATATTGTATCTTTAAAAATTATATACAAATTTTCAACATTAGAGCTTTTGTTTAAAGAGTTTAAATGGGAGGAATCCTTCGCATAGTCATATGTGATGGTGAAATGATTCTTCATTTTATGTTACTCATTATTTGCTGCAACTAATCAATTGATTAAATCCTTGAGACCTATTTGCTAACCTTGACGTAGACAAAATAATAGTAATAAATAAAAAGGCGTAGGGAAATGACGATCCCATCGCCCGCTGACGTAACAGATAAGTGACAAAACTGCTACATCGGTGCAGTCAGTCAGCGCCTTGCCAAGAGGTGTGAGCGCCGTGCCTCGGCAGTACTAAGGGTGTAGAGGCCCGTTTGTGCGTACAATGATATAATGAAACGGTGCCGGGCCTGAGCGTCTCCCGTTAATTGGCGCCCAAAAATGGATGATGGATTGTAATAGAAAGCGTATAGGGCCGCAGCCTGGGGGTCGTCAGTGAGGCCATTCCCTGATCGAATGAATTGACTAAGGCTGGGGATGCGGTTCCTCAGGCGACAGACCAGCATCCACGCGTGGAAGCCGCTACGGATCTTCTAGTTATGGTTGATTTGGACGATGATGAAATGGACTCCCAAGAACTAGAGCAAATGAGGAGTTATTGGAAGAGGCGATTTTGGAAACGCACAGCATGTCTCTCGAAAATCGGCTGCGATTTCCCCGCATACCCCTAAGCAAGCGAAATCGGGCTGTCTTGAGGGCTCTTAACCCAATGCTGGTAACTTATTTGGAAGCCAGCCGGGACCTTTGCGAGACGGACTCAGTTATTTTTGACACCGCAGTGGCATTATGTCGTATTGTTGGCGCCAAAATTCCCATGACTCGACGCGCTACTAAACAAAGTAGCGCCATCCCAGCCTGGAGAAAAATAATTAAGGACCGTATCGCAAAGGCAAGGGTCCTTATCGGAAGACTGACAAGTTTCAGGTCGGGTAATAATAGACCGAGGGTTGTGCGCACCGTTAGAATGGCGTTAGCTGGGACAAATATCAGTTTGTCCAAGCCGCATATCACGCAGAAACTAACGGAGCGCATAGTGGACCTGAAGCAAAAGATCGCTGCTTGGGGGAAGCGGATTCGACGATTTGATTTGAGGTCAAGGTGGTTCAACCAGAATCGTCTCTTCCAGGGTGATCAAAAGAGGCTCGAAAAATCATTGGAGCAACCAGAGGTATGTGGAGCGGGCCCAGGACCGGATCAGGCTAACACTGTCACATTTTGGCGTGGCCTGTGGTCAAATCCCGTAAACCACAGCGAGGGACATTACTATTCCGTGTGACGAGAACCTCGTAAAAGCCGAAACAGATAAACAAACAAAATATGTGGACCTGGTTCACGAGGTGACCGACACGTGGGGTGATCTGCCGGCCGAAATTATTCCTGTAGTCGTCTCTGCGAATAGGCTAATCCCAGCCAGCCGCTCGGGTCATCTGAGGCGACTGGGACTCCGTGATGGACCCTCCACCTCCCATGGCCCCACCAACCTCACGGTTATACGGGCCGAATCTCGAGAGACGCACGCGGTACTTGCTCTGGGCTCTTTCCCGCGTGCACTTTCTTGACTCTCTACAAGTTATTTAATCTGTTCCTGTCCCTTGTATTCCACTCTCCCCTTCTGGGCTGGAGGAACATACTACGCCTTCGGTTCCGGGCTGCTCTTTACCTAAATTGTTCTTCACCAGGGCAGTCCTCCTAGCGTGCCATCCATGCGCAAACTCGCGCAGCCGGCCAAAGTTCTCCCGCCCGTCAACAAGTTCCGGGTAGTATACCGGGCCAATCCTTCCACGTACTATTCCATCCATCATCTTACACCGCAGGTCGTCGCACAGAATAGAGCATGCACTCCCACAGAATGTGGTGCCTATCCTCGTAGGCTGCTCCACACTCACACATACTCGATTCAGACAATTTCATATCATACAGTCTCTTCCTAAAGCATCCATGCCCACTGAGAATCTGTGAGACTTGGTAGTCCGGTACGACCCAATTTGCATTGAGTCGCGCCGCCACGTCCGGGAAAAAGCAGAATAATTCCCTGCCATTCGTCTCGTTCTTCCATCGTTTCCTGCCATACATTCACAACTTCAGCCCAAATTCCGCGCTTACGCATGCTCAACTCCCCATTCTCAGCGTTTCTACGCATCCGGTCAATCCTACCAAAACGAGTTACCTCCAGATCGGCCGGAAGGACGCCGGCCAATACCAGAAGCGCCGCAATACTTATCGTCCTATAGCCCTTCGTCAGCAACACGAGCGAGGATCTCTGCGATCTCAGCAGTGCCGTGCGCACTGTATAATTCCCCACACGATCAACCCAAACAGCTGCTGCATAAGTCACTATCGGAACATATGTTCCTTTATATAGAACACGGAGGGCCGGGTAGCGCATGCCCCAAGAAGATGCCGAAACTCGCGACATCTTCCCAAAACATCTCCCAGCCCTCTCTCCCATGTCCTTGGCGTGCTGGATGAAAAATAGACTTGAGTCTAGCGTGACCCTACCGACCTAATACCTTAGTCGACATTACGCTTCTTATAGACTTCGTCCCCATCTTTATGACAGGTGGTCGCTGGAACTTCCCTTTGATGGTCATAGTGCATGACTTCGCGGTGGATAAGGATAACCGGTTCCGCTCTCCCCACGACGATACCAGCTACAGTGCAGATTTGGCCGCTCTTTCTATTTCAGCTCGAGAATTTGCCTCAATCAGAAGTGTCACGTCGTCTGCATACGCCAACATTTTCGTCCCTAAGGGGAATGGCAGCCTCAACAAATCGTCCAGCAGTAGATTCCACAGGGTCGGTCCAAGAACTGATCCCTGCGGGCAGCCCATGGTCGAGCGTTTCCATTCGACACACTCGCCTACGAATATACCCACCCGTCGGTTGGTGAAATAATCCACCAACATACGGTAGATGTTAGGCGGAATCCCCCCTTGTTTGGCTTTCAACAGTATCATTGGCCACCATGCATTATCGAATGCTACCGATAAGTCCAGGAAGACGCCCTGCACATACTTGCGCTGCGACTCGCGAGCAGTGCTAAGCACATCTTGCAGCGCCGTTACTGTTGACCGACCCGGCGAAAACCCGTGCTGGTAGTTCGATATTCCCCTTTCCAAACTCGGGGCACACCGCAACAAGACACGCTCCAGCAGTTTCCCAAAGATGGGAAGGAGCGTTATCGGGCGGTACGCCTTGGGATCCGTTAGTGGCCTGTCATTCCCTTTCGGAATCTCTATTAGACGTCCTTTCTTCCACACTTCGGGGAAAACCCCCTCTTCCACACATTTGGAATACACCCAGTGGAATTCCCTAGGTGCAGCTTTCCACACATTCTTAACAATTCTTGCACTGATTCCATCCAGTCCCGGAGCAGTGTTGGGCAGAGCCCTTACTATGCCCTCCAGACCACCAATGGTGGGGGGAACGGCAGTCGGCCCCGATGGAGTGAGAGCTGCCATGAGGCGCACTCGCCCGTGGTATCCCGTGTCCTTAGACCTGTCGTCGTCCGGACACAGCGCCACGAGCAAGCCCCGCATGGCCTCTCCCCCCCCCCCCCCGTGTATCCCCTCCGCAAACTTTATCCCATTTATCACGTTGGTGGGAGGACGGAACCTCCCACTTTCTCCCCTTTCCACTTTCGGCTATTTTCCAAAACTGAGCTAACTCCGTTTCCCCCATCATCTGCTATCTCGCTCGCATACTATGGAATCGTTCCATAGCTAATTCCTCTAACCTGCCACCTTTCTTTCTGGTCTTCTGCCACACCCTCCTCGCACTACATATCTTCTTTCTCATCCTATCAAGTTCAGGCGTCCACCATTCATAGCCGCCTTCCCGCCTCGGACGCGCACTCCCCAGCACGTCCTCCGCAGATCGGATGACGATATCCGTGAACTGCGCGCAGAGTCGGTCAGCTGGCTGTTGAACTTTCAAATTGCCCATTCTTAAATGAATTGTACCGCGGAAATACCGCCAGTCAACCCCCCCGGTCACGAAAACGGGCGGGCAACTCCACCGGCCCCGTGAGCTCCGCATGTCGCTCTCTTGCGATCTTGAAAGTTATGAGGCGATGGTTGCTCATGCTGGCGCAATCCAGTACTCGCCACTCTGATATTGTAACACCTCTGGTCGCGAAGGTTAAATCGATGTTAGATTCACCCCTGGCCCCAGCGAACGTGATCGGTTGTCCCTCCACGTTGGCCAGGGTGAGACCTCGCGACACGATCAAATCTTCCGTAGCCATCCGACGGTGCTCTGCTTCATGCCCTCTTCCCACTGTTTGGGTCATCTCACTGTACCAGAGCGGCGAGTGCGCATTGCTGTCGACTCCGATTACAACGCGCTTGCCCTTTAACTGGTCAAGTACGGTCTCTAGGTGTTGAATATGATGGTCAATGGAGTCGCTGTACTTAAAGTACGCGGAGATGAGATAGAGACCGTACTTCTCCACATGGCAAACCACGCAGTAGGAATTGCTAAGGTGGGGCAGTCCAGCCACACCCATATGCCCACGTGGGATTAAGATTGGGGCTCCGCGCCAAATTGAATGAATTCTCTAGATTGAGCCCACTGCTCCTGGACAAGAACAAGGTCCAGGCAGAGACTACAGGCCAGAGATGGTAGCTCCTTCGTGGCCACCTTACCCCGCCCCAGGTTAAGCTGCCCAATAGATATCTGGTCATCCTTATCCATACTGCGTGGTATTTATGGCCCTCTCTTCCGCGTACACCCTAGCCGGGCACGTCTTCGCCATCGTGGCATGAGATTTGGCGCCCGGCTTGCCAAACTTTTTACAGGTGGCGCATCAGACCTCAGTTGAGGTGCAATCCTCCCTTGCATAGCCTTCCCCTCCGCATTTGCCACACGTTGCCTCTTTGGCCCTGCAGTACTTAGCCGGGTGACCGTACTGCTGGCATCGCTGGCAACAGGTGACATCAACGTAGTCGCATGGTTCGACCACGTCCCACCTACGTACATCTCCTCCGGGCTGTCAACGCGTCCCTCAGACCAGAACTACAATGCAGCACCACTGTAGTCCTGCGACTGCCTCTCCACGACTTTTTGAAAGCCACCTTATAATTTTTCTTGAGTTCTTCTAGGGTCCAAGTCTCATCATGTCCAAAATTCTGATCGTGGAGGGCAGGCAGTAACTCCTCATTATTATTGTCATCCTCAAATGCGCTGCTTGGGCTCCGTAATCTGGAGCGTTGGTGGTGCCGCAGTCCTTAATTTCTGTGCCGCCTCCTGGGACGTGGTCTGGACCACTACCCCAGCATTCCCCACCTTCCTTAATTTCGATACCTGAATATTGATTTCCGAAGGCTTCACCGATTTCTTAAGTTTGGCCTTCGTGTCGTCCGCTGTCTTGAGGTGCGCCTGTTCCCCAGCTGGGTAGAAGGCCAAGACTGGGCCAGACTTCTCCGGGATGGGCACTGACGACACACCTTTCGGCATCCTTAGTACGGATGCGAAGCTACTCCCTGCTGTGGGGGCATGGTCCCCGTCACCTGCGGGTGCACGCGTGGCCTCCTGATGCGCCAGCTTAGCCTCAGCCTGCGATTTATCGCGTTCTGCTCTGCAGAGTGCAAGCTGGGCTTCCATAACGTGAACCTCCATTGCTGCGACCATCGCTATCAGATCCTGCCCGGTTGCCGAAACTCCGTGATGGACCGCTCCGGGCTCAAATGCAAAAGGTGGTGCTTCTCAATACCGCCCGCATCGTCCAGCGGTTTCTCTCCCTTTCCTCCAAACCATCGGCCGTTTGGTCTCCTCTGCCGAGGGCTGCCATCTGGTTGGATCTTTATTTATTTATCTGTTTTTTGTAGTTATTTTATTTTATTTATATTTATGTATATTTATCTTTTTAATTTATAATTATATATTTATAAAATCCAACCAGATGAGAAAACTATTTAGATACCCCAAATAATAATAATAATGTCCTCTAGGTCGAATTTCGATCACAGCGACCAATCTATGCTAAGTATATCTAGGCGGGACTGGATTACCTAGTGACCAAGTGTATGCGCAACCATAAATGCACTTTCTATTCCCTCACTCATAGTCCGATGGAACGACTGAATCCCGGTTCAAACCCGGGACCTTATGGTCAGCAACCGCGCTTACAACCACTAGACCAACGAAGTATAAAAATAATGTTCACTATACTTCGTACGATCTATGAACTATGATAGCTCTAATAGATAAGCTAAATAGTATACGTCACTATGTAGGTAGTACAAAGTGTCCGACGTTTTGACTTCACCAAAGTTT